AGCTGCTTAATTCATGTGTAATTCTTTAAAATGATTGAGGCATTTATATTCTAAACCCTTTTATCCCAAACACAAACCAAATTTATATTTTATCCATAGTTATCCCTTTTGAGCCCAACGCTTTTCTTAAATTTTATCTTTTAGTAAGTCTATATGTGTGTATATAACTCATTCTCGTGACATCTTTTTCTGCAAGTCATTAAAGTGCATTATTTTTTTTTTTAAATGTTGCTATTACTCTTACATGTTATGGGGTGCAAAAAAATGGGGAAAAGAAAAAAAACATAGAGAAAGAGCAAGAAAAGGAAAGGAAAAATATAATGCTCCCAAAAAAAAAAGAAAAAAAATTGGGAAAATTACACTGAGGTCCCATAGAAGACAATTAATTCAGAAAAAGTCCCTGAAAATCCCGAAATGATTCCCAAGTCCCCAGGGACCTGTGTGTAATAAATTGTAATTGTGAAATTACCTCTTTACCCCCATTAATTTGAACCTAATGCAATTTATTTACAACCTCAACAGTGGCTGTTGACAACGCGAGGAGAAGTGATTGACAACCTCGGCAATGCCCCTAGCATCCCACAGTGTGAGTTGTTAGGGGCACTGCTGAGGTTGTCAACCACTTCTTCTCGGGTTGTCAACAACTACCGTTGAGGTTGTAAATGAATTGCTGCAATAAAACTAATGGGGGTAAGTAAGTAATTTCAGAATTACAATTTATTACACACAGGTCCCTGGGGACTTGGGAATCATTTCAGGATTTTCAGGGACTTTTTCTAAATTAATTGTCTTCTGTGGGACCTAAGTGTAATTTTTCCAAAAAAATGAGCCAAAAAAAACCCAAAAAAAGGAAGAAAATACCCCTTTATTTCTTATAATTAGCAACATATTCATCTTCTATGCACTATACATATAAAATAAAGATGTCTTCTATTTTCTTTTGCACGCATAGTACTTATTGTTCATCATCTTTCATTCCATTTGACCTCTTTCCAACATTACAAGCCATAAAGATCTCTTGATTTCTGATTGCACATGTAACTAGCGGTGTTAAATTAGAATAATTACAAGCTTATGGTAGGGTGGCTAAACAAGTGAACCAAGTGAAACAAATACCCCTATAGGAGAGATGAGTGATACAGATATATCCTGAGTGTTCTCTCATGCTTTATTCCCATTAATTTAACTGAATATCAATTTAATCTATTTGCATTAATTTTCCCTGTGACTATTACTAATCTCAGGGATATAATCGATCAAATTATTACTTTTGTGCTCCAATATTGTTGGACTTTTTATTTGCTTAATTGATTTGAATGATTTCATATTTTATTGTTTTGCTCAAGAGTGCAAATGTCTAAGTGTGGGGGAATTTGATATATCTCTATTTTATAGTATATTTTTATATATAATTAAGGGATTTTATAATATTTAAATGGTTTAAAATGCAGAAGATATTCATATTTTAAATTAAAGAAATTATATAAATTAATTGCTTAAAATTGTATTTTTTATTATATTTTTTATAATTTCCCTTTTCAAAGGTATTTTTACTTTGATTTCAGGTTTTATTAGATATCATTTAAATTCAAAAGTCCTTTAACTTTGGTTGCCATGAAATTCACACCAAATCAAGAATTCAAATTTAAAATTCTATCAAGATTACAAGATAAAAGAAGATAAAAGATAAAGCTAGAAGACTCAATGTAACGTACAAAAAAAAAACACCACCCCACCTTTTTCCACCGATAGTGGAAAAAGGAGGGGGGTTATTAATGAACATAGAAGGGGAAAAAAAAAAAGAGAGGGGCGGCTGAAGAAAATGGGATGAGAGGTAGTAAGTGTAAGTTGAAAAGAAGGAAGGAGTATTAAATAGAGGAAGGAAAAGAAGGAAAGGAACGGATGAGGGAAGACTTTTTGGAAAAACAATAAATGAACAAAGAAAACAGGAGGAGGGATAGTTGGAAGTTGGAGAAGTGAGTTTAAAAGAGAAGGAGGGGAGACGGAAGAGGAAGAGAGAACGAAGGGAGAAAAGAGTGAGAAGCGGAGAGGAAAAGAGAGAGAAAGCTAAATTGCAGAGTACCTGACGGTTTTGGAGATCATTTAGGTACACAAAACTACTTCTTGTTATAATATTTTCTTTATGAATATTTCCTATATATTTATAGCTTTATATTATTGGTATCATTATAATGTTTAGAGAAAATTTTACTGTGTGGGTATAGAGTAAATACGGAGTTTTGAAAATATATGACTGTAGAAATTTAAAGATACATTATTAAGGAATTTTAATCGGTTTATTTTTTTGAATGATTATTTTGAGAATTTTAAACTAAGATTTTAGTTGAAAAGTTTGTTATTTAGACTTGTAATATATTTTTACCGATTAAATTTGAGTTAAATAATTTATTTGAGTTATTTAATATATTATTGAGGTTTTAATCGGTTTAAATACTGAATAAATTAAATATATATTTTTGAAATAATTTTTGAAGGCTTGAAAAATTATAAATTGAGAATTTTGTGAAATTAGATAAAGCTATAGTTTGTTTATAATTTAAAAAGAAGTTGTTTGGTTTGAGGAAAAATTTTAAATGAGATTATAATAAATAATTGAGAATTTTAATATAAAATATTTAGATTTTGGGTAATAAAAAAATATATATACACTTTTGTTAAATTTAATTAGCCTTATATGTAAATTTTTTTTCAAAATAATATTTATTATAAATGCCTAGATTTGGGAGAGTTAATATATTTATGTAATTTTGGTTTAGAGGGTAGTCTTAGAATTTTAGAGTAGCTTTGGAGTAGTTCCGAGTTTATATTAATAAATATTTATGTGCAATTTTGTAGACATGAAAATTTTGAAGTAATCTTTGTGTGAATATTTGTAAGCTTAAGAGTACCAAGTAACTCTGAAAATTCTTTCTTGTACATGTGAATTGTGTATGATTGTATTATGAATTTACTATATTTTTATATATTGAAATATAATATTGTGATTTTTCAAATAAATGTTTTGGAATGTTATTTGATTTTGTTAAGATTTATTGCTATTAATTATGATTAATATTTAAATATATTGATGGCTATGGAATTGTCATGAGTTGTTATTAAGTGGTATATAAGTTTTATTGCTATCTTATTTTTAATATATTGCGGACGTATTTATGATGTAATATTATTGGCATCTGACATGCATTGTTGGGCTAAGGATAGAAGGAGATTGTATGGATATAAAATTACCACGTGATATGTCATCACTCGGTGCACAGTGGATGACATTTGTCAGGGCCCCTTCTTCCATGTTTTCCTTTGGCCGGGAATTCATTGGAGCTGTGGGACATGTGACACCTCCCTATTTACAAAGGAGGGGAGCCATAGTCCGAGCTTGAGTTTTATATCTTTGGCCGGATATATCTCTCGTATCGGTGAGCTTGGAATAATTCAGTAAAATGGATTAGTTCCTATCAGAATATGTGTTAGCCTATGGCTCTAGTCAGCGGTATAAGGGTGAACGGTGATATAAGGGAGGCGGCATATTGCATTATTTTTTAATATATTGAAAAGAGAAAAATGAAATTGAATTGAGTATATCAAATCCGTGATTTTTAATATATGCATATATAGACAGGTAAACAGATTTTTGATTTATCATATATGGTTTGCTTGTATAGGTTAGAATTTCAGTAGTTATTGAGACGTTTGATCTCACTCCCCTATATTAACAATTTTTCAGGCGAAGGATCTAGTAGGAATCAAGGGAAGGCACCAATGGAGTGAGCCGTGAAGGCTTTTGTGCTCCTCAAGTACATGCTATATTATATTTTTATTTGCCATGACTATAAGACTTTAATAGTTTATGTTGTTAAATTATGTTAGAAATGTTTTGAAATTGACTTGTTGCAGTATTAGAAATATGTATGGACTTTTAAATTAAATATTTTATTACGTATACTGATATAATTACGTGAGGTGTTACACTCAAGGGTTTCCTCATCTAACTAGGACAGGTTCAAGAGCTATAAAAGAGCTATAAAAGGAGATCAAAGGAGTCTTGGAGAAGCAACGAAGCCATCTACACTACACAAGCACAAGCATATACTTGGCTTCCTTTTGTCTAATTATTTCACTGTCTTTTTATTATTTTCTTTTTATCATTATGGTGTCATCTAGCCATATGTGTGGTTAGTCCTCTTTATTCTTGAGGACAAGATGACGTGGCTTGAGTTTCTGTTTTTATTAGGAAGTTTGCTAGTTTTTATATTTCAATCCACTAGTACATTGCGTTTATGAATTTCTTAGGTTAGGATTTTGATTTCTTTTGTGGACTGATATTTGATTTGTGTTCAGTTGAACAATTATGTTTTGAAGTTTTGAATGAATATATTTTCAGTTTCCTCATGATTCTATGAGCATTTATCTTTATAGATTTTTATTTTGATTTGCACAAGTAGTTCATGCTCTAAGGTTTTCGATAGATAACTCTCTTTAAAAACAAGATATAGTTGTTTAATTAAATTCACAAGCTAAGTAGTTTTTAAATGATTAATTGAAAGGTGATTATATGCTAGCTCTCTAGGTATAATTATTAATTAATTAATCATGACTTAGATGTTATCTATAGTTTTTCCTTTTGACTTAATAATTGTTTTTATACAAACTCCTCATCCTTTTGAACTGTGATAGCCACTTATCAACGTCCTCAGAAAGTACACCATTTTGATAAAGTCGTCATTCCTTTCGCTTCTTTTTATTTATTGTTATTTTTTTATTTTTGTCAATTTATTTTTTTAAACAAATCAATCAATTTTCTTTCTTACTCCTTCCGTCTCTACATCACATTTTTCTTAATTAAAAAGATTTTCAAAATTTTAACAAAGCTCCTCATAAATAGAAACGACTTAGGTTGACTTCTATACTATAGAGAGTCAATTATACAAACCTCCTAAAAGCTTTGTCAAAATTACACATACCTTCTCTTTATTTTTGAAATATATACAAACTTCAGAAAAGAGATAACCTATCATCTCAGAAGACCTTGACATGGAAATTTCAATCGAAATAAATTAGATATGATTGGAATGCCCAACACTTTGAACTACTTAAAAGAATCCACATCAAGGGCAGAAATCTGATAATGACAACTAAACTGAGCCAGTTATACAAAAATGATAAGATATCAGCGGGACGAAACCTTATTACTCAATACATGTCCTTCTAACAAACCAAATTTTAAGAAGAACTTCTTCTTATTACAGTCAAGCATTTCACTCAAGCTACAATTTAAGTTCCTCTGCTTTAAAAATTTGTGCCGCAACTCAATTTCTCTCTTCAGACCATGACGAAAGAAGCCAGGATAATCAACAACTTCATGGATTTGTTTCCCCATCACATCTACAAGAAACCTTATCTTGGGTTCTAGAGAATTTTGAATGCTCTTGATAAGGATTGGAGGAAATCCAACTACCAAAGCAACTATCTGTCTGTCTTGGAATCCACATCTCTTTAAATAGGCATAATTGGGCTCCAAAACCTTGTTCACATCTCTACTCAAGACTTCTGGGAAGGTCACAGCTACCACTTGGAGTTCGAAGTCAGTCAGACCTATTAACTTCAGAAACTGAGTAGTGGGGCGGAGTCTTTTATCAACGCTGTATCCCATAATATACGGGTTCCTCACTAAAATTTTTCCAATCATTCCATCTTTATTAAGACCAAGGCTAGCAAGGAAGTCCACAATTTCTGTGAGCTTTGTTTCAATGCTGTAGCTGATAAGCCTGGGATTGAGCAGTATTATTTTTCCAAGTCGCTTTTCAGGGATGCCCAATGCTTGAAAGAAAGCCAACAGAGGGCAAAGCTTCTCTTCCACACTATGTGAGAGTAAATGAGGGAACTTGGCTATGGCACAAGCAACTTCATTGGGTTTTGTTCCCAGCGTCTTGAGGCATTCAACCATGGGAACTATCTTCTCATTAAGGCCAAGCGTAAGAATCTTGGGACATTTTGAAACAATATATGGGAGTTTCCTCTCTTGAATGCCAATGCTTGTCAAATAGGCCCAATTCTCAGATGCTCTTTCTTCATGCACAACCTCAAGGCGCTTGCACTTCCTGAACATTCCTTGTATGCTTTTATCATCAAATCCTTTATCCTTAAAAAACCACATCATGCCACCGCCACTAAAGGTGCTAGAGATTTCCATGTTATTCTGTAAATTTGAAAAAGGATTTTCAGCATAATAGATGAGCAAATATCAGGAAAACCAAAAAAAAAAAAAAAAATTCAGAAGAACATTTGTTGGGAAAACCTGTATTCCTCTAAGACTAATAGAAAGAAGATGAAAATAAACATGTTTTGACCGTGGAAAGCCATAAACCTCAACCTGAAACTCCACCACTAATAGGAATCCACAGTTATTTCGGGGGTTTATTCACCAGACGTAGAGTTACAACAACTGCCCTTTATAATTCATTTTACATCAATTTCATATTGCAGAGATTCTATCTTCATAAATTCCCGCATTAATATAGATGAAAAATTGAAATCGAAACCATGTAAAAATGTACATTCTTGTCGCTAACTGAAATGAAACAAGTCTTTTCTACTCAGCAGTAACAATGAGGTCCACGTGAAATGAAGCTAAGGCCGACAACTGCCCTTTATCATTGATTTTATATCAAGTCCATGATGAACAGATTCTATCTATATAAATTCCAACATTAATAAAGATGGGAAATTGAAATTGAAACCATGTAAAAATGCACATTCTTGTTGCTAACTGAAATAAAAAAGTATTTTCTACTCAGCAGTAACAATGAAGTCCACGTAAAATGAAGCTAAGGCCAACAACACACTTTTTAAGAAAACAAAAAATCAGTTTTACAGAAACGGGTATGACACTCACCAATGGAGAAAATTCAAAACTTCTGAGTTCTCAGACAAAGAAAAAGCATGTGTTTGCGTGCTCAGCTGCGGTTGAAGCTCTGCCACGCCACCTAACACAAAGTCCTCCAAAGAGTTCTTGACCAGTTTTATCAACCTCACAAGCGAAATCGAGTCCGACAATGCTTGAAAACTTCAAACCCGAAGGATCGACAAAGGAAATCGAACTACGACTTAGCAATTCGCTATCCTTGATGCAAATCCATGTGAAAAGAGCTGAAGATAATAAAAAACCAAAAGGCAAATTTTCTCAGTGACAGAGATAGAAGAGGTGAAAGCGAGGAAATGGAGAGCTGTGGCAGAAGAATTAGAACACGGCAGTGTCTCTCCCTACACTCTGAAGTGAGAGAGGATGAGGCGAGTGGATTGAGATGGGGTGTAGTGCTTCGCCGTAGCGTTCGGTCTTTCTCGTCTTCACTTTCAGACCCCTTCTCCTCATCTTCAACCAAACGGCGACGTTTTCCTGCAGTAATCTGCGTAACCAATATTATCATTTTATGTACAATATTTAAGGTATAATTTTAATAATTAAGTTTTATCTGGAAAAACATTTGACACCAATAAGCTGTAAAGAATGCTGAATTAGACGTAATTTTTTAAAAGGTGGGGCAATTGTTCTTTTTTTTTTTTTTTATCATAAGTATAAACTAACAAGATGCGAACAAGATGCGAAGGATACAGTAGGAAACCTAGCACACAAGCACCTAATATCCTGTACAATGACCTTGCATTTCGGATGATATGAAGTCTGTCCGTTCAACAGTCTTACCATGCTTGGTCTATACAGGAGTGTTTGGATAAGAACAAAATTATGGTTTCAGAAGTGCTTTTACGGCATACAAAGTAAATATGTGGAGGAGTTTGCCTCGATTTATAAAAAAGTGCTTTTGAAAAGTGATTCTGGAGTTACCCAAACACTCAATATTATTGATAGATTATAGGCATAAGGAGCCAGTACGAGAGACTGATGGCATACAGAGTAGAGCCTCTTGTGCAAGTCTTACACTTGGGAACCATACTAACTTTAGACCAAAGTAGACTTTTCTGAAAGAAAATTTGAACCCAAACTTCATGAACAGTACGTCCAAATTGTTTTAACCTACCCAACCTTAGCAACAAAACCCAACCATGATGAAAACCAGAAGGGACTGAGACCATGTTCGTTTCCTTTGTTTCATTTAGCCTCATACTATGAGCTTGAATAATGTTGCTCTGATACCTCGGCCATCTAACATGATTTAAAACTTGGTCTAGGTAGCATGATCTATTCTTAAATACCTTTAGATTTCTAAAATACCAAAGACTATACAAAACAGTGCACATAAGAACCTGAGATTGAAGAGGCAAATCCATTAAAACTTGATATAACCATCCCCTCAAGTTAGTAAAATCATGCCTAGAAGTTTGGAAGCTCAAAGGAGATCCAAACCAGATAACCCTTGGCTATTGACATTTGAAAAAAATATGCTCAATATTTTCTACTTCTCCACAAAAAACACACTTCGAATCAATGCCCACATTTCATTGGACGAGTAACCATTTAATTAGCAATGCTTATGACCAAAACTTCCAGCAAAATAACTTTATCCTAGGAAGGAGAGGCAATTTGTTCAACAATGTCTTGAGAGCCCCGTTAAAACAAATAGAGGAGGGACCATTATGTAAACTTAACTTATAACCGTCAGCCATAGTATACCTACCCTCTGTATTACCAAGCCAAACCAAAACATCTGGTTGATCACAAGTAGATACCAAAGTAGAGGAAATCTGATGAGATACTTCAGGAGAATATGGTAACATTAATAAGGAAAAATCCCAAGAACCATTTTGTAGAATAAGATATTCCACAGTTGATAGGGAGACTGGAGAGATCATCTGCATTGGCCACCATAGGCGACTAAACAAGCTAATTGACTTCCCATTGCCAACCTGCCATTATAATCTATTGTGACAAAATGCACTGTAGTTTTCATTCCTTTCCAAATAGGGGACTCTAGAGCACGGTTAATAATAATACCATCATCTAAAACAGAAACATACTTTGGTTTAACTACTTGTGCTACTAAAGAATTTCTTGAAATCTCAAATAGTCTACCCACCATTTTGGCCAGTAAAGCTTGATTAAATGGTTCGATCTTTCGAATTCCAAGCCCACCTTCCTTGTTTAGGGAACAAATCCTTTCCCATGATATCATAAGCATCTTTTTACTATTGGCCCCTACACCCCAAAAAAAATCTGCAAATTTCATATCAAGCTTGTGACAAACTGATTTTGGCAGCTTATATGCAGACAACAAATAAATAAGGGATGAAGACAAAACAGATTTAATTAAAATAATTTGAGCTGCTTGAGAGAGTGAAGCTGCCTTCCATGCTTGAAGTTTTTTGTCTATTCTGTCAAAAATCTCTTTCCATAGATGCTTTCTATCATGACCAAGATCAATATAAACTCTCAGGTGCTTACCAATAGAAGAACGGAATATCATTCCAAGCACCTTAGATAATCTATCTTTCATATTGTAAGAAGCATTAGGACTAAACATTAAACAAGACTTTCTCATATTTATTTTCTGACTTGCAATTATCTGCTAATGTTGTAGTACTTGAGCAACCCTTTGAAAAGAAGCCTCTTCAGCTGGTACGAATAATATAGTATCATCCGCATACATCACATGGGTTAGAGGTAGAGAACCTTTACAAATAGTCAACCCCTTCCATAATCCTTGACTCTCTTCCATAGAGATCATAGCTAAAAGTACATTGGCCCCCAGAATGAACAAATATGGTGAAAGTGGATCACCTTGACGCAGCCCACAAGAAGGCACAAAAGAGGTAGACAAAGAACCATTAACCAAGACTCGATAAGTCATTAAAAAGATACAACACATCAACATTTTATTCCAGATTGAAGGGAAACCCATGTGCATTAACAAAGCATGAATGAAATTCCACAACATACTATCATATGCTTTCTAAATATCAAGTTAGTACACCAACCCTTTTATTTCTTCCCAAAGATTTAAGTTTAGCAACAGCTTCTAAAACCACCAAAATATTATCACTTATAAGTCTACCCTTAATAAAAGCATTTTGTACAACACACTACACAAACTAATTGGACAAAAATCCTCTAAGGATTGGGGTGAATTTGTTTTTAGAATTAAAGCAATATAAGTTGTTCCCAAAGCCCGAGGAAAGGAACCAGTCTGGAAAAAACTCCTAACCAGATTCCTTACATCCCTTCCAATCTCACCCCAAAAACCTTGGAAAAATCTAGCATTGAAACCATCAAAACCAGGAGCTTCATCTAAATTCATTTGTCGAATAGCTAGGTCAATTTCTTCATATGAAATCTGTTGCATCAACAAAAACTTGTGTAACAATGTTATTTGTGGGATGGGTAGGTTGCCCAAACAAGACAGGATTTCTTCCTTTGACAATTTCCCCTTACACGAAGAAATTCTTTTAAAATATGAAATTGTCAATCTTTTAATCTCATCAACCCCCTCAATCCATTCACCGTCCTCAGTCTTTAATTTTGTAAATGTGAAATAGGAACGCCTCCTTTTAACCAAATTATGGAAAAAATTAGTGTTTCTATCTCCCTTAATCACCCAATTTATTCTAGCCTTTTGTGCCCATAAGAGTTCTTCACACTCATACCAGAAGTTCAAATCAGCACGCAACTTGGAAATCCAAAAGCTAAAATCATTTACACCCAACCCTGACTATAAATTATTAAACATTTGTTCCAAACAATAAATTTTATGAGAAAATTTGACCACTTTTAATCTATTCCATCTTATTAACTCTTCTTTGAGACATTCAAGTCAGAAAATTACTTGATGAGCTTCTAGTGGGGACACAATAGAATCCCAAACTTTACGCACAATTTCCCCACATTCTTTAAATTGGAGCAAAAAATTTTCAAATCTAAAAGGACGTTTGCATCTTGATTAGGGTAAATAAGAGTCAAATAAAAGTGGTGAATGATCAGAAGCAGTGATTGGTAAAACTTGAGCAGTCGATTGGGGAAAGAACTCAAACCATAATTTATTGCATAAAGCTTTGTCTAGTTTTTCCCATACCACATTTTCTCCCTTACGATTGTTAAACCAAGTGAAATGTGGACCTTGCATGGGGACTTCAATTAGTTGGGTAAAATCAAATTCTGAAAATCAGTAGCTCTATGAATCTCCATGTTTTTGCTTAATTTCTCAAAACTATATAATACTTGATTAAAATGTCCAATTAAAAGCCACAGGGCATTAATCAATCTATTTTGAGTGCGAATCCAGTCCCACAATTTATGTCTATTACGGATAGAAGGAAAGCCATACCCGTAACATAGACTAAGCCATCATTATTTATATTAACAGAAACTGAACCCAATTCGATGAGCAATCCAAAACAGAGACCACACAGTTTGATACTACCCCCATAACTAGATCTCCCAACAGGTTCATGTCCAACTACATATACATAACCAAAAGAGTTAAGAAGATTGCTCACCTTACTGAGGGTCTGCAAAGTTTTAAACAAAAGGATAAAAGATGGGTTATGATTTGTGAGGAGGCATTTTAAATGCTGAACTGTCATAGGCCGCCCCAAAATCCTCATGGCTTCTCTGGAGGCTCTTTTAGGCTACCCTCGTTTGGAAGAATCTTTGAGGATGAACCACCAGTATCAGCATCATGTATCACAGCAAGTGCCTTGCCTCTCATAATCCTAGCATCAATAGCATCAGATATCAGTCGTTTCTAAGCATAGACTTGAGGAGTAGGAACTCCATCTTTATGTGAGGCAAGTGTATTAAGAAAAAGACTATCAATCCCTTCCAGATTAGTTGCCTCTCCAACCGAACTAGTAAGCCAGGATCGAGAGCCCACTTTATTTTCCAGAGCAAAAGTTAGAGACTGATCCACAGTAGTCGGATCTGGAGCATAGAGACTAAAACGTGATGCAAAAAGACCCATCTCACTTAAACAAGAGTTAACTCTTGGTTTCATGTTATGGTGTAGGTCCAACTCTGTATTTTCTAAGCAAGTTTCCTCAACTAAGCCCAAACGTGTCACCACTTGCTCTAAACAACGCTTTTTTGAACTTGCACTAATGATAGCAGGAGTGGGGTCCATAGAAACTAAAGGTTAAAAAGCACTTAGATCCCTACCCAAACCTGACTCGTGATTAAAGTTTTGTGACACCTAATGTACCTCAGAAAAGTAGCAACCTCATTAATACTGCCTTGAAGATTATTATTATTATTTAATCCATCTCCCCTTTTTCATGGATGTTAACTATTTCGTATCAAGTTACTTTTTATCTACTGGGTCTCATATTTATCCATATGTCATTTCTTTTTTT